AAGTAAGATGCCCAACACTGCTTACGTCACGCAAAAACCTGCTGCACTATTTATCTCCCTGCCGCCAGGTTGGACTGTTTTTTTATACTAAATACCACTATAATAATTTTCTAATTTTACACATAGTGGGTTTAAAGGTATGGTTAGACATTTGGGGAAATTGGTTCATTCACTTTTTTACCAATAGTTAGATGGAAGATGAATCCACTTGCATCTGTACTGAGCTAGAGCCAGGAGACGGTTAGAAAAGACAAAGACACAAAGACTGGAATCAGGGGGAAAAAGCTAGCTCTGTCCAAAGTTCAAAAACACACTTACTTACTTACAGACACCTCTAAAGTTAACTAAGTAACATGTTAGATTTCATTTGCTTTAAACGATGAATGTTGTAACTATTTATTGGTCTAACTAATGTCACAAAGCCAGGCTAGCTGTTTCCCCTGCTTCCATTTGCCAAGGTAACCGTCTCCTAGCTCCAGATGCGTTGTATCACACATATTCCTGCTACTGATGTGGTGAGGTGAAACCTTTAACCATAGCGCATGTGACTTCAGTGTGCTTAGGGATTCAGTGGCTGCTGTGTGTCATCTGACATTCGTTATGCATGTGTGCTCCGAATCGAATTTTAGGTGTGGCAGAAGGTGCGGTTGACAGTGTTGAGTTTATGAGTTTATGTTTTTTTATAGGATACCTAAAGAACTAACTTAATGATATGGGTTTGTTTGTCTTAGTAATCAGATTACATTATCACAGAGCTTTCCATCCTTGTTCCTAAGCCTTGATTTAAATGTGTTGGCCTAATTTAATTTTCACTTTAAGGTTCAAGTGAGCAGGACTAAGGAGAAAGTCAAGGCCAGGTCATCACAAGTTTCTTAATAGCCTCTTTGCTTATATGCTCCGAATTGGTCTTTATGTCATGTGACCATGGCTCATCACTCCAGCTATTGTTCCAACAATTTGATAGTGCCGATTTGACTCAAATCTCAACTGAAAGCATAAATAGAGGAGCTTCTGGCTAACATTCAGTAGAAGTCAGATGATCAAATGTGAATATCCCTCCTTGTTGATTATGAGCACTTACTGTGTAGTATTTGCAATGTGTCAGTGAGGTCTCTGGACTCTCTGGGCTCTATTTGGACAAGAAGCAGTGTGCAATGGATTATTTTAGTGCACTTTAAAATCTGTACCTCAGTGGAACTGATTTGGATAATGTATCTGTGTTAGATATTAAGTGTAAGTGGAAGTAACAAGTTTATACAGTGACATTAAGTCACTGCAATAAATGAACATAAAATAATGGAGGCTCCTGCTGTGAAAATGCAGTTCAAGTGACAATATAGGCAATATTGAACCAAGGACTGCTGTGGTGCTCAGACGTCAGTTGGTGGCCCAATGCGGCCGAATAAAAGTGAAATTACTGAATTTAATAACAACAGTGAATAAGAAATAGTTGATTCACTTAATAAGGTTAATATTGATACCAATACAGATATCCAGCATATTAATACATATTTGGCAATGAGGCCATCAAAGTTGAAGAAAGATCCTTGTCTCATTATTACCAATATCTGTCATCCAGAACTCCCAGCATGTTGTATGAACAGAAGGTATGTGTTCAGGTATGTGATCAGTTAACTCTTGCTCAACTAGCACCAGGCTGTTGCAAGTGAATCATTTTAAACTGGTCAGTTATATGTCCGAACTGTATGCAGAAGTTCCCTGCATGTGGTAGAGATGGTCACATTCTTGGGACAAATTGGACACACGCTGTTCACAGAGTTCCATGACAAATTGACAAACTTATCTCCCCTCTTGTCGTCACTGCACTCCCCAGGAGCGCATTCCTTCAATTTTTCACTCTGTGTGTCTTATTTAACAAACAAAATAATTTGTTTCCTGTTTTTTTTTTCTTAATTTTATTTGTACTGAAACCAAACAGACAGACCACAGACCTTGTCATTGAGGGTAAGATGAAATTACATTGCGTAAAACAGAAAATAAGAAAAGAAAAAGAGGCCAAGGTCCGTGAGACCTTGTCATGTCCATGTTTTCCCATTGAAATGATAAAGGTCCTTATTATCCATGACCTTGATTCATGCAAAGCCAGGGTATTTTTAAGGAGGGGAAGGTCTTCACCTCATTCATAACCTGAGGTCCCAAGTTATCCAAACAAAGTAAATATAAATTAAGGAAATCGCTTCAGATTTCCATGATATACTAGTATTTTTCAATTTTTTTAGTGCCTTGTCTCAGGTAGAGAAATCCATTTTCTGATGTTTCACTTCACAGAGAGTGAGTGAATTGTGTGTCTTGAGATTAATTATTTTTTAAGTAATGGCCTTACAAGGACAGCTTGAAATCATCTTCTGTCACTGTCATTTTAGCAAGCATGCAGTTTATGAACTTCCATAAAAAAAAAAATTTCTGCGGTCATTCATGGCCATTTTTGTGCTCTGTGAATTAAATCTATTGTGTTCTTAAGTTACTAGGATCTCACAGAGCTATATTTTTTGTATTTTGTTGGGGCAAAGTGTGATTTTTTGGATGGATATTCAGCAAAAGGGGATTATATTTTGTAATTCTACATGGTGTATGTATATTGTAATGAATGTATCTGTCTTTTCCCCTGCTGGACAATCTTAAATAAACTCTTTCGTTCTTCCACCAGTACATCAAAGACTTCTACAATGAGACGATGATAGAAACTTACGACTGGAGTCCGGATGAGAAGCTCCTCACCGTCCTGTACTCCCTCACTGTGTCGATCTTTGCTATCGGTGGGATGACCGGGGCCCTGCTCGTGGGCAAACTCGTCACCAAATATGGAAGGTTAGTATGTCTGTGGATGATTTTTGGGTGTATAACACATGTTCAGTGCATCAGCTTGTGCTTCTGACAGTTCCTGTTCTCTGAGTAAAGACGGATCACTGTGTGTCCAAACAGGAAAGGGACGCTGGTGAGAGCCACTGTGCTGGTGTTTATAGGAGGAGCTCTTATGGGGTCCAGCAGAGCGTGCAGGATGCCTGCGATGGTCATTGTTGGACGCTTTATCACAGGAGTTCACTCAGGTAGGGTTGCCTGCTTCCTGAATTAATGACATTGTGTTACATCATTCTAGCTTGAAAAAATTTACATTTATTTGCAGATGAGTAGATGCAAAGCTACAGTAACACATTAGAGAGACATATAAGTAGCTTCATACTATAGCCTACCCAGAGCTGTTTAATGTGCTTGTGCTGATTTGCAGATGTTTCACTGGAATTAGTCATCCTTTATTTTGAAAGTGCTTCTAATGTCTTTTAATGATTTTGTTCATTAGGCTTTTTTGGAATCCATTCTCCCATTTTTTCCAGTGTATTTTCATTTAGCTAAATATTAAGCTGCTCACACTAAGAAACTGAACTATAAACAAATGTTGCCGAAATTAACTATGGAAAATTTTGATGCTTGAAGAAAATTTGCTTTGGTTTATGGTTTCATTAGGTTGAGAATAATCTTACATTTTTATAAAATACAACATATCAGACTTTGTCAGGGATAGTAGTCATGGACTTCTTAGCATCTTCGCTCTTGTGTTCTCACTTTCCACCAACCTTTATCAAGCTGGAGACAGGCACTTAATGTCTGACATTAAGAAATATTACATAATTAGAACCAAAACATAGAGCATTGAATCACTCTTTTTTTCCTAAGGTATCTCTCTCAGTGTGGTGCCAATGTACCTCGGTGAAATCGCCCCGAAGAACCTGCGAGGCTTTCTGGGCCTCGTTCCCAGCATTCACATTTGTCTTGGAGTCTTCATCGCTCAGGTCCTGGGACTCCACGAACTGCTGGGAAAGGTACTAACATCGTGCCATTCAAACGCTACACAGGTCTACTCTGTCACGTCAGCGGCTGGGAAGGAAAAGTCCTTTATGCTCTCTCTGGACTGATGCCGCACCAGTGCAAATGTCAAGTGATTGTTGACATGGTTCAGATTTCTGACATGATATGAATCACATTCTGGTAGTGAATTTGAGGCATAGTTGTTAGCTTACACAGCTCCTCCCGTCATCCATCCTCCATCTATCTAGTCTTGCAGTAGATATACACATCAGGTGCTTGATTCTCTTCTCAGACTGGAGCTTGAAACTATGGCACATTCACTTATCACGTATAAGCATGAATAACTAGCATGATACAGTGTGTGAACACCTACAATGCTGGGTGCCATTAGATAACAATTATTTATATAACATGAACAGCTGGCCCTGTAGCTCTCCTCCTCCTCTCATTCATGTTTTTTCCCCCTGTATCTGGTAGAACTGGAGGAGGTGATGCTCTTTCCATCTGCCCAGTTCTATCTGATACAATAGACACTTGTGTCTATTGTGTGAAACAGCTGCACAGAAAAATTAAGCTTAAAGAGATTTTCTTTATTTTTTTTTTATTTCTTGCCATCTCCTAATTCATTTCTTCTTTTTGGTTCATCCCATCTCACATTCACATCCCTTTAACAGCACTGTTCATCAGAGATGATAAGCTGATGATTAAAAGCTGTTGATTGTTGCATTAAATAGGGTTTTATTAAGGTGTCTTTTTTCCCATTCAGGAAGAGCACTGGCCTCTGCTCCTGTCCCTGGTGGTGTTTCCTACACTGGTCCAGCTGATGCTGTTGCCATGGTTTCCAGAGAGCCCACGGTACCTGTTGATAGATAAGGGAGACGTTGATGCCACCATCGCAGGTTAGAGTCATCCAAAGATCACAAAATGACACAAAATCCCAATCCCATATGCCCTTGATTTGAAGGTGAATGGTGGGACTGTGATTTTCAGCAGGCTGGTAAAAGCTTCTATTTTCTGTCCTTTAGCCCTGAAGTGGTACCGTCTTAAGGGAAACATCCAGGCAGAAGTTGAGGAGATGCAGGAGGAACAGCGCTCTCTGTCTTCCATCGAGACCATCTCTGTTCGTGGTCTGCTTATGGACCGCTGTGTTCGCTGGCAGGTCATCACCATTGCTGTGGTCAACGTTGGCATGCAGCTGTCTGGCATTGATGCAGTAAGTGCAAAGAGCTTTAGTGGAGATGTTGTCCTTTCTGTGTATGTGTGTGTGTGTGTGCTTACATTTTGGATGTGCTAAGACTGTGCAGTTATTATATGAGAGTGAGATCTCATATTGCTATTGTTCCCAGCTGTGCTCCACCCATATGCACCTCCTCCTGTCTATACATCACGGCCCCACATGCAGCGACTGCAACAGGACCACGCCTAATTTTCTCCTGGTCCTCTGTTTTAGTGTTACCCCACATAAGACAGTCCAACCATCCACAAACAAAGTCCAACACATCTTTCTTCCCATTTCTCCATGTGGATGGAAACTCTATGCATGCTGGCTCACGTGCTAATACCATTTCCCAGCAGGGGCACACCCCACTGAGTCTCTCTGTCCCAGCTGTTTCAGACGGGAACACTGCAAACATCCAGATAAATTCATGTGTCCAAACTCTGTGTGTACTGTTGTAGTATGTGTAACACTGATTTTGTGGAGTTGTTGAGAATGTTTTCTGCACCATTTGCCCATCCATCAATCTTTAAGTTACCATAATAGCTGTCTGGGAATTTAGATCATAAAGCAGCAGCTCCCAATCACTATATTCTTCTTTTTTGTCTTTGTCTTTTTTTAAAGAAAATATTTTTTAAATTATTTTAATTAAATATAACATAACATAAGCAAATATGTTATGCTTTTGAGTGAAATAACAAATCTTTTCCAACTAAATCTAACCCAATATTCATATACTGGTGAAGTCCTTCCACTGAACAGAGTCATTCTCCTAGCAAGGAGACAACAAAAGACTTTAATATCACGTTCAGGTTGTGTCGACCCAAACAACATGGCTTATGTTCCCTGAGTATGAGTATGTTGGGCATCTAGCTACTGAAATGAGGAGACAACCAAACAATATTAAAGTGCAGAAGGTGCAATGCTTTTGGGTTTGAGTGTCAGATTTGCTTGAAACACTGTGAATTTCCCTCTAGTCACTGAGGATTGTACATGTTTTTTATTAGTATAAGGAGGAGGGGGCACTGTGTGAGTGTAGGCTGCTGAGACAAATGCTGCAGGCCTTTTGATTTGAAAACATTCAAAGTTTGTTGAACTCTTGGCATGGAGTTGAGCTCATTGCACCTGATCTTACCAAGACTGTCAAGGTTAGTGACATTAGAGGGGTATCTCTGCACTTATGGAGATGATGTTGTCCTTTTATTGTTCAATGGACTGTGGTGCAAACCAGAGAAATCTGTGGTGGAACATGACATGACATCGAGTTCAGGCGTAAAATGAGATGTTAGTGGGAAGTAGGGGAGCTCAATTATCACACTTTAAGGTAAAACTAATTGTGCCAGGTAGTTTCTGGAAGACTTAAAAGTGGAACCACAAAGCAAGATTGATATATAGGCCAGGCTTTATCATGACCATCACCTAGGTAATGATGATAAGGTGATAAGGTGAACTGATTTTAACACAGCGCTGCACAGCTCAAAACAAGCCAGGGAGATAAATGATCCTTGGAGTTCAGAGGATTCAGATTAGTCGGTTCACACAGGTGCAGAGAGCCCTTAAGGTGCCTCCCTCTGGCTGTGTAATTGGGAGAAGACCTTGTTGTACACCCAGATGCACCAGAGGGACTACATCCGTCAGCTGGTCTAGGAACAGCTTGGATTTGGCCTGGAAGAGCTGAAAGAAGCCTCAGAGGGGAAATATGCTTAACCAGTTTATGTAGAATGTGAGTCTGGATGGAAGGATGGAGCAGGCTACTGACTAATAAAATAATATAATTATTCATAGCCTATATATGAGTGTAAGTAGTCCCACAGCAATTATTTGAGTCCTTTGTGTTTTATCAGTTGACCATCATCTTGAAAGAAAAAAAGCTAAATCTAATCTGATCTGATAGAAATAACAGGATTTCTGGTTTTAGGGTAGATTTCAATTCAGTAAGGAATATATATATATATAGCCCATAAATACATAATGTTTCATTCATGTGCTCAGAACAATATAACTCATTCTTTAACTTTTTCAAATTGTTTGTGTATGTTTCCTGCTTCGATAGAGGCGTGTGTATGCATACTTCAGTGCTGCAATGGTGATGAAATAGCATATGTACGGTTACTAAATCAACAAGACAGCATTTAACTGCACCAATTACAATCTTGTCCACACCTCATCAATGATGGATGTTGCATCAGCAAGTGTGATTAATGAGAATACACAAATTAATTTCAAGGGGAGCACTTGTCAGAAGTCCATACTGATGAAACGCTGTATCTCAAATGCATGAGTGATGGTCGGTGTGATGATAATGATCACTATGATGAATTGCACGGAAACACCAAATAAGCAGAGTGACTTTTTGGCTCCTTGTGAAAAAAAAAAGACAAACTTTGAGTTTCCGAGCATCCGTCTGTGTGTCTGTCTGTGGTCCGACATATTCAGTATATTAATAAACTTATTGTCACTGTCAATTTCAGATCTGGTTCTACACAAATGACATATTTAAGAATGCAGGAATCCCAGAGCCTTATATTCAGTACACAACAGTGGGAACTGGTGCCATTGAGGTCATCTCTGGGATGCTGGGGGTGAGTAAACATTATCTCACACAATAAGACCACATTATTATATCATGACTGTATGACACTATGTTATATGATGATTAAGAAACTGATGGACTAGTGAATCCAATGTGGGGTTTCGCTGCTTTTCTCTATTTCATTTCATTATAAAAACATATAACTGATAATTTCAACTCTAATAATAGACAGGGAAGTCATTTTTAATGTATGTTCTTAATGATAACCAAATTTGTTTCATTAATTCACATATTTTATTTCCATGCTCCTTTTGCTGATGTCTTTCTCTGTTTCAATATGTTCAACTATTTACCCATAGATCTTAAACTTAGAGTACAGATCATGACTGGGATTATTTTAGAGTCCAGTTGAAAATATTTTAAAAGTCATGTAGTCATGAAGGATCAAGTACTTTTCATCAAGTTTTTAAGATCAGATGAGATAAGATGCACCTTTATTGACCTCCCGTTGAGGAAAGTCAATTTGAAGCAGCAGCACAAGGCAATGTAGAAAATAAAATACGATAAAATACAGTGGCCATACAATATAACCTACTCTGTGCAGTGTTACTAAAATATACATACAGTACATCATTTACATAACATTTGATTCACCTTTGCTTTTTCTACTATGACAAGTCAAAATGTCTGCTGTGAAAAAGGTCTGAATATCCTGTATGTGGCACTCACTCATTCACTGCTGCCCTGTGTGTTACATAAACATCAAAGAATACTCCATGTACTGTCTGTGGTGCACCAGTAAATGAGATTAGGCATGAGACCTAAATAAGACAGAGGATAAAAAGTCAGTTCTTCTAGATAATGTCTCACATTGCAAACCAATCACAACAGTTCTCACCTCTTTGTGCATTTTGCAGTGTTTCACTATTGAGCGTCTGGGCAGAAGACCTCTGATGATTGGCGGCTTCCTTTTCATGGCATTCTGCTGTGTGGGGATCACATTGTCTATCCTCTTCCAGGTACTGTGTCATCTGACACCCTGCTCGTCTAGGAATATATTACATTAACTTGCAGGTCGTGGCGTACGGCATACAGTACATTGTTAAAATGAGGCTAAGGACAGTAGAATTGACATACTTATTTACATAAACTAAAATCTGTGTGTAATTTATGGTTAGTTTCCCTTTTTTTGTCATATAAGTATGGGTTCCTGTATGAAACATTTTGCTTGCTGTAATCTTTTCTCCCTTTGTACTAAACAAGCTGTAATATTGGAAGACATCCACTTGATTTGACTAACTCAAACATATGAAGCCTCAGATTAGCGTCTCATCAACTTTTTATACGTTTTTGCATTCAAATCGCATTCGCGAGGGATCTGTTAATGGCCAGTATGAAGAAGAGGAATGATTACAGCAAGACATGTTCCAATGTTCATACTGTTGTTTTAAGCAGACTTGAACATTTGTAATCCTATCCTTTAAGAGTATAATTACAAACATTTATCAGATTATTATTAGAAAAAAAAGTCTCTTCAGTAAACAAAAGTGGTACTGACTAAACTTGGGAAAACCCCTGTTTACTGTACAAACAGTAAAGGATTATGAAGGAAATTTCAGGAGGCCCCACATGGTACAAATCATGTTACTAATATTTTACATAGAATCAGAATGAAATAAATACAAATGAATAATTATGAGAAAATATGCAAATTGTTTGCTAATCTTTACAACTCATGACTTCAGACTCATGGCTTGTGTTTGATCAATCACAGGCGCAGCTGTCCTTCATGCGCTACATCAGCGTGGGCTGCGTTGTTGGGATTATTGCTGGTTTCTGCATAGGTCCAGGTAAGCACTTTAGCACTTCTACCCTCTCTGCATCTCACATGAAGCCTCCCTTTATAAACTTAAAATGAACATTTCCAGTCCTTGCATACTCCACTAGATTTGGGCTTCCCTGTGTGTAAGATAACACTGCTCCCTGCTGGAAGATTGCACAACAGCAAGCGGCAAATCTAAAAGCCAGCAACACTCCCAGCAACACTCCCTCCCTCCTCCTCCTCCTCCTCCTCCTCCTCCGACTGTGAAGAGATATTGTATTTCATTAGTCTTGTAAATTAGGAAATCATAACTGCCACACTACATCCATTCCCGCAACCATTTGTACACTGGATGAGTTGAGTGAAGTGAATTAAGAGGCAATAGTTTACAACTTTAGGAGCCACGTTGAGTGGACCTGCGAGGATGATGAATTAGAACGAATCTGGTTTACATAGCGTCATTCGTCAAGCCAGCAAAATCTATACCTCGGCACGAAGACGAGGATTTCTGTTGCTGCAATTAGACTTTTAATGGCTCATTGTTCATAAGCTAGCCGTGATGAATACGGTTTCCTTCAGACAAAACCTTGCATGCACAATGACCCCCCCCCCTCCCCTCCCACAATACATACCACAGATGTTGACAAATTATGGCATAGTTATTGGTTTGACGATATTAAACCTTCCTCTATGCAATTATCATGCACAGATAATGAGGACATCATTTGGAAAGCTCATCATTGGAGCATATTAATGCATATTTCTCCTTCATAGCTTTCACTTCTAACAATGAAGAATTATGTGTTTAAAGCTAAGACAACGTCTCATAGATCCTGCATGTCAAACCAATGAATTGCTAAAGTCCTGGCTAAGCTGTTCTGTTTCTTGTGGTTCGGTGTTGGACTTTTGCCAAGCTGACAAAAAATCCTCCTCTTGTCAATCTATGATCACTGAGTAATAATGAACACATAATGAAGTACATTCAGAAAAAAGAGGAGTGTAATATAATAGCGCTGGGGCTTGAGGAATGTTTATCATTTGTTATATCATGTTGTTTGTTTTGAATGGCTGCCAAAGAATAGTCCTGAGTGGGAATATTGATAAACTAATTGATGAATGAAGACGCTGATGTTAATTTCACAACACCCAATAGATTCATACAGCTGCACTGGGTGGTTAAATGTGATTTGTATTATGACAGCTTGATAGGATACCTAGTTAGATCAAACCAATAGATGAACTGTATGTGGACTGAACCATGACTGATTGAGAAGGTTGCTGTTGTCACAATAGACACAATATATATTGTTTGTCTCTTCTGTGTAGCTGGTGTGCCTTTCCTGATCACTGCAGAGCTGTTTAAGCAGTCTCACCGACCGGCTGCCTACACTGTGGCCGGCTGCCTCAACTGGTTGTCCAACTTTACCATCGGCTTCGTCTTTCCCTTCCTAGAGGTCAGAGCAAACTCAAATTCTATGTCTGATACTGTTTGCGTTCAGTTTTGAAATCTTGATCCTGAAATGTGTATGTAGTACGAATTGTGTAGCAGATTTCATGGGTGGATTCTCATTTTATATACCCACAGATTGTATATTTTGCATCTTTAGCCTAGTTGACACTGGGGCAGATCTAGCATGGCTCTGGTATGGAGACTTTAAGGGGTGGCAGAAGAATATGCTGATATAATTGCAAACAATCACATAGATCATGGCACATTAGTAAAGCATTGAATAGAAATATCTAAAGGTGGAATTAAAAATCAGTAAATTGTTTTATTTCCAAATCTTTTTCCAAATACATGCATTTTTTCATTGAACCTAAGCCTATCACCTAATCTAAAATATGACAATAACAGATAACAATGAATGAACAATTCATTTCAGTTTGGGGTGACCAGGCATTTTCAGGTCTGGACCTGAGTAAACATTGAGAATGTCAAGTTCATCCTGACATTGCTTTGAGGATCTGTTGTGGCTCCACTTTCAGTGTCAGACACTTGACAATATGGGCTGTCTGGTTTTTTTGAACAGAGGCGACTCCCCAAATACCAATAAAATGACCAATTAAAACGGCGACCTTGCTGTCTTTCATTGTCCTCAGTGTTGTTCTAGTTGAAAAGACACAAAGAGGACAATGGTCTGTCTCGTCAAAAGTGAAGATGTAAACTTTAATGATTTCTGGCCCCAAGGTCTGTCACACCATTATTAAATTATTAAATTCTATTTTCAGAAAATGTGTAAACAGAACAGCTTCAGAGCTGTGCAAAGTTGTATTTTTTACTTGGAGTTAAGCTAGCAGTTGCCCCTGGCCTCCAGTCTTTGTGCTAAGCTAGGCTAAACGTTCTGTTGATAGCAAAAAATAATCTTAAAAAGTTTAGTTTTCCATCTCATCTTTAAAGCTGCACTAATCAATGTTTTCACTTTAACAATGGCTCAAATACCCCTGGTTATGAAAGGTGTAGCTCGAAACAGACAGACTGACTGACACAGTTAGCAGCAAGCTGGTGAAAATAGAAAATGGAGTGCTAATGTCGTTCCATGTAAAAACTTCATAAGGAGATTAAATCAGTGTTTTCTGCATTCCTTTCTGCTGACCCCGAGTAGCCAAAAAAGAAGAAAAACACAATTATTGCTGATCTAACTATTCCAAGTCACTCGTTTTTAAAGCTAGCTAATCCTTTACTATAATCTTAAGTAGTTCGTAGAAAACCTACAGTACCCTGCTTTTAGTTTTTCTCTGGCTATGTTGGGGATCAGATTCATGTTAATTCCTTGCACTAAGCAGTATTTATGTACTTGTACTATGACAGTGTGGCTTCAAATCTGTCTCCTTTTGCTTTCCTTGGATAGTTTCCCCTTTGTAAAGAAAGTCAGAAGAGTATTTGTTTCCTTTGATCATGTACTGTATGTGTATTCTTTTATTCAGTCTAACTATGTGTCCTCCCACCACAGATAGCGACAGGTCCTTACTGTTACCTGATCTTCTGTGCGATCTGCTTGGGGGTGGCCATCTACACCATCTTCGTTATTCCCGAGACCAAGAACAAAACCTTTATGGAGATCAGCCAGATGTTCGCTTCCAAGAACAACATCCTCAAAGAAGAGTTGACGCCCAATGGTCATGTCAAACTGGCTGTGATGAACGGTTATGGAACTCTTGGCCAACCTGACTAAAAATAAGGAGTGAGGAGGTGGACCGACTTGTAAACGATGGATTCTTCTCTCAGTGTGCCTTCTTGGTTTGTAATGACTGAAATAACGGTAGCAAAGGTGAAATCTGATGAGATCTGCCGCTTTATGTGAAAACTACAAAGACCAATGCGCATGCACAATCGTACACAAAAAGAAAAACTGGCCTGTCTGGGTCGACAGACAGAGAATAATTTCTGTTTCCACAGTTAATCCGCAGTCAAAGTGTAGCTCCTGTACATTATGTGAGGCAGAGGTCACGCGGTCATGTGTTTCAAATCAACCATCAGTGACATTTTAATCCGTTTTTCCGCATCTTAGAGCATTTTTACAGGAGCTGAGTTGGTTTCTCACAGTGCTCAAGTTTTAATCTTTGCATTAGCTTCACTTTCTTTGAACACATCCCATGATTACTTTATTGTTCATATTTAGTGTTGAGTGCTGTCCCTTGCTCAATAGAGAGAGAATATGTTTATTGAGTCACAAAGCAATAACACCTCTGAGGCAGCACTTTTAGTGCACTGAAGGAAGGAATGAAAGCCGCTCATAATACAATATTTACTGTTACTGTATGTTTACGGTGTTCAGCTCAAGGTGAATGTGTTGACCAAGAACTTGAGCTTGTGTTTGTTGTATCTCTTGTTCAGTTTTGTGTCTCTTTTTACTAAAGAGAGTTGGATATTGTGGCTACTGTAGTAGTCATTTCATACGCCTTGTCCAAATATATGCACATGTATGTAAAGCTTGTTTAAAAATTTACAATTTATCAATATATCACATCGAAGTAGCTGTAAGAGTTTTTTATCTGCTGTATGTTTTACAATACCTTTTGGTTTAATATATGGTGGAGTCAGTGACAATGAGACTGTTCAGAAATATAAAGATGTTTGAACATGAAAATCTGTCTCTTCTTTGTTATTCTGCTGTATTGAGCTCTAAACTGTTTTACTGATTAAATGCTGTAATCACAACCAAACATTCAACAATATGAGCAAAAGAGTCATTCGTATACAGGAAGCGATATTCCAAGTTTACCCCACTGAACCATCAAATATGGAGCAGCTCTTCTGTAATACCACAATCAATACTGTAGCTTCTTTCGGGGCCAGTGTTTACTTTACATTCATTTAGCTGCAGTGACTCCAATAACTAGAGGTTGCCTCTATACATAGAAAACGACAATAAAGAGAAAACTCTGGCATTATTGCCTCACACCAAAACAGCCACAAACATAATAAAATAACTCTTGCAATTACAGCACAAATACCCATCATGAAACAAAGGGTAAACTAACATGGCCTTATTAGTGGTAAATAAATGGTTTGCTAATGAGGTTCAAAGTACATTTACTGACCTTGGAAACGTAGATGAGAAAGCTATTAAATGGCGTATCTGGAACTTAGAATAGAACAAATTATAAATTAAATTTTTCAGCCAAGGCTGGAAAATCACCTTTGTTCTCACCCTATCAGATAAAAACATAGATCAATGCGGCACGTCTCATTATCATCTCACAACAGTTAATACAGCACACAGTGTACAACATGCCTTCTGCGCAGAAGGGTGCAGATAACTGCAGCTTGTTCATGAAGTTTATTGCACTAGGTATAAAAGAGCCCTTTTAGATCTTTTTGTTTGCCAGAGGTACTCTGTAGCACCACCCTGAGGGGAGCAGCTTAAATTTAGATTGTCCAACATATACAAGAAGTCTTTAAAGTGCTCAGAAAAATGATGATGAAGATCATATATGAGCATAAGCTACTGAAGAGCTGCTCAAAGGACCTTGTGGTGGAATTATTTTTTAATAATCCAGTTATAAATGTAAATTAAGTAAAGAACACGTGTGTAGGCTTTAGTGGCATATAGTGGTGAAGTTGCAGATTGCGACCACCTGAATACAGCTCAGCTTCCTCAGGGTGTAGGAGAAACTACGGTGGCTGCAAAACATGCAAAAATGCGAATCTACAGCCAGTGTTAGTTTGTCCATTTTAGGCTACTGTAGAAGTCACAAAGGCTGCACTTACAAATGTCAATACATCATTACAATGATTTGTCATGTTTACACTTAGCTTATAAGGTGATGATATATCAGTGTTGTGTGTACAGCTTGTTTCTGCTGGCCCCAAGTGGCCTACAAAATCAGTTATTGCAGGTTTAATACATGGATTTTACTCAAAATGTTTTGCAGCTCCTTTTGGAGGTCAATGTCTGAAACAAGCAACAACCAACCAACATGCTTACATCTCTTTAGTATGCCTATATGAGTCTATGATGTTGTGTATTTAACAAATCTTATTTTCTATCTCTGGTTCCAACAACAAATTAGTTTCATTCTGTCCTCAACATGTAAATGAGACATTTGGAGTTAAAGTAAGGGACGTTATGGCATATTTTTTGTAATTCCATGGTGTGAAGAATCACAGAAGTAGCTGCGTTCTCTCAGTGTGCGAAACTGCCATCATCCTGCCTGCAGTCCTATGTAAGCCAGGGTGGCAAATTTGCCATATCATGTGACATTGTATGGCAAATGTGGGAGTCATACAGTATATTGAAGAATGGGAAGTGGCACTCCTCTCTCTCTCATCTCTTCCCACTGCCTTTAGGCTGGCTGATCCATCTGTCAGCCCCTGCACAAGGTCCCTGCAAACCCCCAACTGAGGCAGAATGGATAAATGTTGTCACATCCCTGCTTGCCCTGACATCACAGAGGAGAGAGAGAAGAAAGAGGATCGACCAGGGCAGTGTGAGAAACATCAGCATATCACATCTGGATTGTTTTGGGGTTTGGGTACGGATAGATCTGAGTGTCACAGCACGTTCAGACATGGCTTTAAGTCACAGAAAGGAGGAAAAGGTGAGCCTGGTGATTGAGAGTCAACCTTTGGAGTTGTTGATTTGCTGCTGAATGACAAATGGAAAACAGGAGCTTGAGTCCTGAGAGAGGACAAACAGGGGCAGTGTGGTTGTTCATATGTAACGTCACCCACAAACAAAGGGCTCCCTGTCACCGAGACTACAGTATATTTCTGTGGATAATGCCACAGCATTGTGCACATGTAAAAACACACTCACAGACACTCGCACAGGCAGGCTCACTCCGCCTCGGGCAGGCAGAAGCTATAAATCAAACAAATAGCATCACAGCCTGGCGAAGGACGCATTCCAACAGATAAAATGCTCTCCCACACAACAAAGCCACACTCACTGCGTAATTAATTGCAACAAATTACCTCTTCCTCTCCCTGTCGGCCCCCACCTCGTCTCTTTTACGGCACTGACAAGCGCACTACACGCTCCTGCGCGCGTGTGTTCGCGGGTGTGTATGCGCACGCAGCGCACACTCCGACGCGCGTCGTGGCACCGGTGCGTACACACGGATACACACACACATACTCGGCCTGCACCCTTCATAAGTGCTTTAATGTGGCTTATTGCAGTGTGCGGTCCCCTTAGCCGTGGAAATATTCGCTTGACGGATGTGCTTTGTCGCCGGCGCTCCCCGGCGGAGGGCGGCTGTCAGGGAGGAGATGATAACATTAACAGGGAGGCAAGGCGATGACAAATGCCTGTTATCAGCGAACGAGGCCGGTGACAAATCGAACGGCAGAGCCCAGGCAGCCCCGGCGCGGCGTAATAAAAAAGAAGATGGATGGCACACCCAGGCAGGGCCCGCGTTAATGCGATTTCCACTGCTCTCCCTGACTCCCAATTAAGGCTGGGGGGTGGGGGAGGGAGAGATGTGGAGCGCGGGAGAGAGGGGAGAGGAGGTTTGTGTCTTGTGGAGGAGAGTGTGAAAGGAAGGAGGAGAGCTGAGGATGGCGGGAGGAGGGGGAGAGTGAGGAGAGAGAATGGGGCAGAAATGTCGGGGCAGGAAGGAAGGAAATGTGAGGTAGATGCAGTGGCATATGAAGAGGAGAGATGTCACTGAGGATGAGGCGAGTGACAGGAACAAAGTGGACTAACCACAACAGAACATGCAACTTTAATTGTCTGCAGAGCCCATCTGCTGCCCCCCCCACCACCTCTTCTCTTTTACTCACATCTCAATCAGGGCCCTGTCTCAGAGGTATAGGTTGTTATGTCTCTCTGTGGCCAGGTGGAACACCATTAGAGCTTTTCAAACAGTGACAGTAATGAACAGCCCCCCCCCCACACATACACACACACACACAGAGCTACAGAGGAGTATTTAAGGTATTAATATGCTAGTGCTAGGTAGCTGGCTAAAGAGAATTACATGACATTAATATGATAGCGCTAGCTAGCTAGCTAAAGAGAA